AGGTCTTTGTCTGCCACTACAGGGTTCCATAGGCCTCTGCCCACGGACCTGAATCCAGTAGGTGCGTGGATCCTCAGCCCCACAGCGGATACCTAGGCAGGGTTAAGTGGAGAAAGCCTGGTGTCAAGCATGCTGGTTGTACCCTGCCCTTGCTCCCGGGCCATAGCTGTCTGCTCCTGTAGCACTAGCATGCAGTGAGGGAGTGTGGTCAGTATGGGCCTGCTCTCCTTCCTGGTGTTGCCGCTCACCCTGGAGATAATGCTTGCTGTTAGCAGCTAGGAGCTGCAGTGGGATCCTGTTGCAGTGGAACTCGGGCTGGTGGCCTGACCGACCTCCTCCCAGATATATCTGTGTCCTTGGGGAAATGAGATCTTCCACGATGTCGGTCAAAGTGTGGGTGTCAGAGAGGTGGGGCCTAAGAACAGTGGCCCTCATCTGAGCTGTGGTGGTGCAGGTGAGATGATTTTATGGCTTTTGAAGTTACATTGCATAAAGAATCTCACTTACAAACCAGGTTCAAAGATTCAGTAAAGTTTAAGGGCCACGTTTAAAACTTAAGTGGAGGGGCTGGAGACCCGGCTCAGTGGTTAAGAGCACTGGCTCCACTTCCAGAGATCCTGAGTTCAATTCCCAACAACCACGTGGTGGCTCACAGCCATCTGTAATGAGATCTGGTGCCCTCTTCTGGCCTGCAGGCATACATGGAGGCAGAATACTGTGTCCATATTAAATAAGTTTCTTTTTAATGTAGGAGGAAAGGACCAGTGAGATGGCTCGTGGGGAAAGGCGTTTGCTGTCTGGCCGCCTTTCAGTCCCCAGGACACACATTGTAGGCAAGAACTGATCCCCGAGTTGTCCTCTCTGGCTCTGACCGGAGCCTGAGATCTGGGGGCGCCACTGGTTGCAGTTACCCACCAGCTGAGGTGGTGCCCCGAACACCACAGTAGCCAGGTCCCGCTGTCGGCTCCAGGGAAGGGTGAGGTGGGATTTCCCTCTGTCAGGCAAGAGGGACGAAACCCTCGTCGCAGATCAGGAAACCTCTCCTCAGCACAGCTGACTCCCACTAGTTGTGACATTAGAGCCCGTGTTAGCCTCATCTTCCGGGATCTGAGCTCTGTGCAGAGGGGACCCAGCGGGCAGAACCCAAGCTCATCTCCAGGGCTCCATCTTCCCTCTCTTTGTTGCTATCCCGTCCCCTCTGCAGTTAGGAGTTAGCACTAGTGTGAAGGTGCACCGTACTGCCGCACCCGGTGCCACATTTCATCACAGAGGAACTAACAGCCACTGGGCGGTGACTTTAGTCACACAAAAGCTGACCGTGGCCAGTGGTGGCTGTGGTGGTGGCAGCAGAGTGCGCCTTTAATCCTAGCGCTCAGGAGGCAGAAGCAGGCAGATCTCTGAGTTCAAGGCCAGCCTGGTCTACAGGGTAAGATCCAGAACAGGCAGGCTTACACAGTAAAACCCTGTCTCAAAAAAACAAAACAAAACAGCTGACCATGATTGCAACTGTGGATGAGTTATGGGGCACCAGATACAAAGCTAGACCCCTGTACACACTCATTAATGAATGAAAGATTGAGCTGAAGCCCTGGCTAAAAACATCCTATGCATCTCTGTCATCCCAGAAGCGGATGGATACAGAGCAACGTAATAAGTACCTTGCTTCTATGAAAACTGACTGGTTCTTAGGACAGCACCAGGTGCTTGGCAGTTTTGTTGCTAAAGCTAGATTCAAGAAGTAGCTTCTAGCCAGGCAGTGGTGGCACACATCTTTAATCCCAGCACTCGGGAGGTGGAAGCAAGGGGATCTCTGAGAGTTTGAGGCCAGCCTGGTATACAGAGTTCCAGGACAGCCAGGGCTACATACAGAGAAACCCTATCTAGAACCCCTTTCCTCCATCCCTACCCCACCAAAAAAACGACCTCTGAGAATTCAGGTTAAATTACCTTCCTGTATCTTGCAATACATAAGGATACCACCAGGTGGTAGTAGTGCTCAAAGGCTGCCTACAGTGACTTTGGAAAGCAACAGTGTATTTCTCTTTTGATTTAATTAGATGTCTTTGGCATTGGAAAGAACTTTTCTTTTCAAGAAAAGTACAAGCGGAGTGCAGTGGCTTGCATGCACAGTCCCGTCTTTCTGTGGTTCCTGTGGTTAGACTGGGCCACCAGGCAGGCTCAAGTACCTTTACCTGTATCTCCACCATCAGTTTTATATTTTTTGAGTGAAGGAAGGACTTACTGTGTTGTCCAGGCTACCCTTGGGCTCCTGAGCTTGAGTGATCCTCCTTCCTCAGCTGCCCTAGTAGCGAGGACTGTGAGCGTTTGCTACCTCACCCTACTCCACCAGCTACGCCAGCCTGTGCCCTGGGGTGGGCAAGTTTTTAAGTGGAGGGAACGTCTTGGCCTCCTCAGGGAGAGCTTACCCAGTCAGGAAGTGCCCAGTGCTGATGGAGCCTTGTCTGTATCGCCTCTTTAAATCCCCAGGAGAATCCTGAGAGCTCTTCCCAGCACCAGTGCCTCCTCTGTGACTCCAGGTCACCAGCTTCTCCCAGTCCTGTCTGTCCTCCCATCCCAGGTTCTCCTCAGGATTTCCTCTCCAGCCTCTTGGGGTCTCTGCGGTTCCTGGTGTCCAGCGGAGCCTTCGCCTCTTGCCTCGAGCTGTTTTTTTTTTTTTCCATCTTTGTCTGTCTAAAGTGAATTCTTCAGCTAGTCAGGACTTGCCTTTCTCTCATCTTTCTTTTTGATGGTGCTGGGAATGAACCCAAGAACCTAGGCAAGCACTCCACCACCAAGCCACACCCCAGCTCCGCCCCTTTCTGCTTTGTAACTGCCTTGTAAGTGCAGTGTGGAGTGTGTACAGTGAGATGCACTAAGTGGCAGTTTAATTAATTCTTAAGTTCATTAAGGTATGTGCCCCTGCAGGTAACTGCTCCTCTGTCAAGATGTGGCTTGTTTCCCCCATGTGCCCCACACAGGCACAGCTCTGACCTCTGTTCCAATGGTTGCTTTTACCTGGTCCTGGTCTTTATATGAGTGAGATCATGTGGGATCCATCCTAAATCTGGTTTCTTTAAAAAAAAAAAAAAAACATAGAGGATTGTAGGGAGGCATGGTGGCACAGGACTTTAATGCCAGCATTTGGGAGGCAAAGGCAGATGAGTCTCTGTGAGTTCAATGCCAGCCTGGTCTACATAGCAAGTTCTAGACCAGCCAGAGCTATACTGTAAGACTCTATCACCTATGCACGTGGTGTGCACACACACACACACACACACACACACACACACACTCCTGTTCTCTCCTTTCTCTGCCCCCTATGAAGAGGTTACAGACCCACACGATCTTGTCTGACTTTTTATGTGGGTGCTCGGGATCAACTCAGGTCCTCATCCTGCATGACCATCTCCCCAACTCCAGCATTTATTTTTGTTTACCTTTAGGACTTCAGGAGGTTTTATTTCATGTGTGTGTATGTGTGTGGTAGAGGTGAAAGTGGGGTAGGTCACACAGAAGAGGATGTCAGGTAAATCAGGCAATATGGGGCTGAGTTAGAAGTGGTTGTGAGCTGCTTTATGTGAGTGCTGGGAACTGAACCCAGGTTTTCGGCAAGAGCAGTGTGTGTGTGGTCTTAACTGCTGAACTTTCTCTCCAGTCTTTGTTTTTTATTTCTTTGTTTTTGTCTTGTTTTTATTTTTATTTTATGTGTGTTGCTGTTTTGCCTGCATGTAAGTCTGTGTGAGGATGTTGGATCCTGGAGTTGCAGACACTTATAAGCTGCCGTGTAGGTGCTGGGAATTGAACCTGGGTCCCCCAGAAGACCAGTCAGTGCTCTTAAGGGCTGAGCTGTCTCCCCAACCCAAGAAGGCTGGAGAGGGGAAGCCCGGGCGGAGCCTGTACTCCAGTTTTTGGGAACACAGGCTGCTTCCACCTTTTATTTTTCTTCCGACTGTTCTGGAACTGATGCTGTAGACCAGCCTGGTCTCGAACTCAGCTCGGTTCTCCTTTTTTATGGTGAGGGGCTTTAGTTCGTTGAGACAGGGTTTCTCCATGTAGCCCTCTCTGTAGCTGTCCTCAGAGTTAGAGTGCTGGGCTTAAAAGCATATGCCACCACTGCCCAGGTCTGTGGCCCTTCACAGCGGGCAGACTCAGGGTCGTGGACTGGGCCGGGGCTCTGGTGAGTCATGTGGGGCTGTCTCGGTGTCCCAGCCCAGTCTGTGGTCTCAGAAGCTCTCAGCCACTCTCCTGGGCCCTCACCCTCCTCTTCATCTTCAAGAAATGCTGCCAGCTAGGCAGAGGGGCCTAGAGCCCTGGTGGCCGGAAGCTGAGTACAGGAAGCCATCTTCCAGCACTGGGGAGCAGAAGCTAAGCAGTGTTTCTCTGTAAAAGGTAGCATCTGCCCCTGAGGCCAAGAGGTCATTAAGTTAGGGGACCTAACTTGAGAATGGAAGAAGGGGCTCTTGGTTCTCTTTATATCAGTGTTTTGTCTGTATGTGTGTACATGCACTACATGCACGCCTGGTATCTATAGAGACAAGAGGGCTTTGGAGCCCCTGGAACTGGTCACAGGTGGTTGTGAGCCACCCTGTGGGTGCTGGGATTAAACACAGGTTCTCAGGAAGAGCAGTCAGCGCTCTTAACCTCTGAGCCATCTATCTCTTGATAGCTTTTTTTTTTTTAATTATTATTTTACATGCTGGCCGCAGTTTCTCCCCCCTCCTCTCCTCCCAGTCCTTCCCTGCTCTTGACAGTTGTTCTAATCCAGAGTCACTGGTCTCTCTCTGGACTTTCCTCCTCTCCTCTCTAGTCACAGCAAGGCATGGTGTTGTGTCTACTTCACTTAGGGCTAATAGTGCAGGCTGGACTCCTGAAGTCCTTGTCCATGGGCAAACTTTCCTCAGGCCTGGGCACTCCCCCAAGGCTCACTGGCCGGAGGTGCTGGGAGGGGAGATGAGAGAGCCAGGACCACAGCACCCCGGCTCACCCTTGCCTTTCTCCAGGGGGCCTCTGCAACCTGTCCCCGGACAAGGCCAACAAGGAGCACATTCTGCAGGCCGGAGGCATCCCGCTCATCACCAACTGCCTGTCCAGTCCCAATGAGGAGACGGTGTTATCTGCAGTCACCACACTCATGTACCTAAGCTCACCCGGCACAGGCTCCCATCCCGAGCTCACCTCCTTGCCCCTGGTCCAATGCATGCTGCGCTTTTCTCTCTCAGCCAATATACGGCTCCGGAACCTGGCCCAGATCTTCCTAGAGGACTTCTGCTCCCCAAGCCAGGTGGCTGAGGCACGTAGCCAGCAGGCCCATTCTGCCCTGGGTATCCCACTGCCAAAGACCGAGGCCCCACAGCAGCCCTGATCCAAGGAGACCCCAGGACTATGCCACTTTCTGCCTGAGAACAGTCCTGGCATAGGAAGCAGAGACCAATAGCCGTCCATCCAGCCCACGTGATGCCTGTTCGGCTGTATGCAAGATACAATTTCTGAGCATGACAGATGTTTACAGCTAGGAAAACCAGTAGGAAGGAATGAAGAAGCCAGACTGGAGATGCTTAAAGGAGAAAAACAAAGCTGGTGTTACTTTCATGGGCTGGCGCTCCCAAAGTGCAGACAGAAGACCACCTGGTGCCCCCGCGGGTGGGTGCCCCCGCGGTACTCAAGAGCAGCTGCTAGAACCAGGACTCAGGAGAGTGGCCAGTAACACGAGTGCCCAGAGGAACTTTGATGGCTAGAGATGCTGTGGGGTGACTCCACCAGTACCGAGGCTGGGCATTTGGGCACAGTAGACACTGACTTGAGTAGCTCTGCAGCCCAGAAACAACTGTCCACACAGCCCTGCCTTCTGCTAGGCACCATGTGAGGAACACAGATGAGGTCTCTGTCCTTGGGTGTCACACCTCAGTGACTGTTAACCAGGTGGCCATCGGGCATTAGGAGCAAGGCCCTCCAGGAGTTAAGAGCAGAATGAAGACAGGACAGCTAAGCGTCCCTCTGGAGAGGCCCTACATAGGGTCCTGGGACACAGATGGAAAGACAGTGACTTCAGCTCCCCTGTGACCAGGCTGTGGACCCCTCATGTACCAACTGCCAACTGTGGCATCCCTGTCCCTTCAAAAAAGCTGCTCTGGGGCTGGGGAGATGGCTCAGTGGTTAAGAGCACTGACTGCTCTTCCAGAGGACCCGGGTTCAATTCCCAGCAACCACATGGCAGCTCACAACTGTCTGTAATTCTACTTCCAGGAGACCCAACACTCATGGCAAAACACCAACGTACATAAAAAATAAATATTTAAAAAAAAAAAAAAAGCTGCTCTGCCCCCTCTGCCTGTGACCGGATCTTCTGACACTGGGGTGGGAGCCCTGCATACGAACCCTTCATGGCTGGGATGGGAGCCTACCCAGATCTTCTACCTGCCGTTGTCCCATGAGCCACCAGGAGGATCCACAAGGACTCAGATGCCAGAGAGCACAGTGGCTCAAACCTGTAATCCTATCACTTGAGAAACAGAGGCAGGAGGATAGTCATGAGTTTGAGACCAGCCTCCCCCTAGTGAGTTCCTGGGCAACTTGGGCTATGGAGTAAGATCCTGTCCCAAAAGGAAGAAACAGGTGTCTGAAGGACACCAAGAGTCTGTAACTGGTGACTCCCTCCCTCCTGTGCCAGCGAAAAGAAAAAAGTGAAATTAAAGGGGAAAGAAGCAAAAAGAGGGTAGACCTGGAGAGGTTGGGGTTCAGGAGAAATGGGGGAGCTTCTGCTCTCTCAGCACTGGCCCCCTTAGATGAGAAACGAGAAGCTGTGTTACAGGAAGGCCATCCGCAAGGGTGTGGGAATGAAGCTGTGGGTGCGGCCACTGCAGGAAGAGAGGAAGAAGACTATCAGTCATGGTTCTCTGCCCACCCCAGCCCGGCACAGACCCTTGCCTTTTCTGAGAGAAGGTCTTCAAAGAACAGATGCCTTGCTTTTGATTTTTATTTTTATTAAAATCCTCCTAACTGATTTTCCCACTGTATTTCTGCGCCAGCCCTGCTCCTTCTGGGTGTAGCCATCTTGGGAAGGGCCAGATGGCAGTTTGTTCAAGTGAAGGTTGCAGGGGCTTCTTGCGTGAAGAAGTCACTGTGCAGGGTCCTGCTGACCCATCCCAGGGTCCTTCACAGGCCAGCTCGCTTGCTGTCAATGATCCCCCTCCAGTTGTCACTCCAGGAAAGCAGCCGTCTCCTGGTGGGGGGCAGGGCCAGGTGCTGATTGTGGCAGCAGGTGAACAAGATGTGCTCCCAGCTTGGGGTCTTCTCTAGGCCTGGGGCAGGAAAGGCACAGTTTGGGGACTGTAATCTGGTTATTTGCCCTAATCCCAGCAGGCCAAATGCCTGGAGGTTATCATGGTTAACTGGCCCAACCTTGAATGGTGTCTTTGTCGTCAATGAGTAGGTCCCCCATGACCACTGTCTTGTCTCTAGTCAGGATAATCCGCTCCACAAACTGAGGCCCCAGGTTCTGCTCTACCCAGCGGTACTGTGGAGGGGGGGGAGGAGTGGGAGGGATAAAAGGCAGATTGGTCAATGGGTTTGCTAGGTTCTAAATGCAGGGTCAGTGAGGCGCTGGGTTAAGTGGAACTAAGCCCTCCAAAGTGCGGTACCCTTTTTCCCCTGCCCCTACTCTCTGGTTTATTTTTAAAAAATCAAATTTGGAAAGTTAAATCTGCGCAGGCGCCGGCACCTTCTCGCCCACACAGTGGTCGTACTTCCGCAGTGGGCTGGTGCAGATGAAGACCTCGGTGCTGCAGAGAGAGGGGGCAGTTAGGCCTGGGAGCTGGCTGACCTCCCGCCGCCCCCTCCCCACCCTCCTTACTCTTGCATGTCGTTCATCTCTCGCAAAGCGTCCACAGCCCCAGGGATGGGCTCCAAGTTCAGGAAAAAGCCTGGAGCTTCATACACACTGGCCAGTTTCTCCTGAAAAAGACAGATCTCGTCCCGCTGCTGCCTTACAGCAGGGGGAGCCCCAGAGAGGACCCACGATAAACAGCTCAAGCCCACGCTGGGGATAGAGTGCTGGAGGTGGATATGCGCTCTAAAGCTTTCTGGTCGGGGGTGAACTGTGGATTCAGAAGCTGGGGTGCCTGGAATGGAACCCAGGTGGCCCTGTCTAGGGCGGGGAATCCTACCGCCAGGTCCGGCCGCAGGGCTCGGTATTGCTCGCTGGCGAGGAAGCCGCGACGTTGTTCCAGCGGCACGTGCGGCTCCCCGGGGAAGCGGTGGCGGAAACCCTGCAGCAGGCCAGACTCGAAGTCGGCCAGCACGCCGTCCATGTCCACCAGCACGCGGACCGGCCGCCGCGTAGCCATGGCCGCGCCCGGGGTCCTCGCGGAGCAGCGCAGCAACGACAGAGGATGCCAGACGCGGAAACAAGCTTCCTGGGCGGGGCCCGACCCGGTCATTTGCATAGAGTGCACAGCGAGGTGCCCAGGATGGTCCTGCCTCCCTTACTAGGCCACTCCCCTAAGTATTTTCAGTATTCCTCTCCCCAGACCTCCCTGAGATCCGAAATACCCTGGCAATGTGGGACCCGCTCCACATGCTGCATGCGTACCCTCTCCCTTGCTTGTCCAGGGTGGAGGTGGGCAGGGAGCACACAGGGACCCCAGTTTCCAGATCATGAGGTTCCCAGTTCAAGAAAGGACCATTTAAAGACAACTGTGGGCATGAGCTGGGCTCTCAAGAGACAGAGTCCTTAGCCAGAGTTGGTTTCAAACAGTAGTTTTGATTTCAGCCTAAGTCCACGCCTTTTTCTATGCAACCGAGGTCTCCACTAGAATCAAAAGCCGTTTCCTTCTAGAGAAAATGTTAAACTTCACACACACACACACGTTTTTGTAGATTTCACAAAGTTCTTGGCGACTCTCACATCGATTTACTAACCAATAAATGCAGATTTGAGTGCGCCCTTACTGGCTGATCTTCCCTATTTAATGACTCCCTCCACCCACCCACGAGGTTTCTCTGTGTAGAACTGGCTGCCCTGAAACTCACACTGTAGATCAGGCTTGCTTCTGCCTCCGAGTTCTGGGATTAAAGGAGGGTGCCACTACACCCCGCTGTCTCATGATTCCTAAACCATCCTGATAAAAGCATCACAACAGCCGGGCCATGGTGGCGCATGCCTTTAATTCCAGCACTCAGGAGTCAGAGGCAGGTGAATCTCTGTGAATTTGAAGCCAGCCTGGTCTACAAAAACTAGTTCCAGGACAGACTCCAAAGCTACAAAGAAACCATGTCTCGAAAAGCCAAAAAAGAAAAAAAAAAAAGTTTAAAACAGCAACAAACTAGCCAAGTGTGGTGGCGCCCGTCTTTGATCCCAGCATTCCATAGGCAGAGGCAGGCAATTTCTGTAAATTCCAAGACAGCCAGCCGGGCAGTGATGGTGCACACCTTTAATCCCAGCACTCGGGAGGCAGATCTCTATGAGTTCGAGTCCGGCCTGGTCTACAAGAGCTAGTTCCAGAACAGGCTCCAAAGCTACAGAGAAACCCTGTCTCGAAGAAAAATTAAAAAAATTAAAAAAAAAAAATTCCAAGACTGCCAGAGCTACATAGTGAGGACCCAGTCTCAAAAACAAAAATGATGATAAATCCTTACTTTGGGAATGATTTCCACCAAGCCAAACAACTCACATGAACTGAGTTTAAAAGATTCATCTGCAGGTGTGTTTCTCCTGCTTTTGGGTAACTTTTATATGCCAGGTGATGGAGTGGTGGCACACGCCTTTTAATCTCAACACTCGGGAGACAGTGGCAGCTCCATTGACAGAAAGCATACAGGCAACCCTGGGCGGGCTCCGATCCCAGCACTGCATAACCTAGGTATGCTAGGGCATGCCTCTAATACACGTGCGAAGGTGGGTCAGGAGTTCAAGACGAGCTTCAGCTACACAGTGGGACTCTCTCTCTCTTGCTCTCTCACTCTCTCTCTCTCTCACACACACACACACACACACACTTAAAAAAAAAAGACAAACCACAGTACTTCAAAAGATGGGTATTGTTTTACTTTCAGCAACAGTCCAGGACCTAGAAGTACAGGTTCAAGCGTCATGCACATGGCACTGAGAATTCCCACTAGGATGTCCCCGTGGGACCCGCGCCTACAGCCCCACTCTGGGACTGCCTCCTGTGTGCTTCACCTTGGAATTCCAGGCAGCTGATCGTGCACCTGAAGCCTTTCTCTGCACCTGGGTGGCTCTGCCCAGCAGCTAGCCTGTCACAATGGCCCTGGCTTCCATCCTCTTGCAGGCAGCGGGAATGAGATGCACATCTTTGTATCATTCCACTTGGACAGGAAGGTGCACTTAGCAGAGGACGCGGTGATGGTGGAGCAGACACCAAGGAGCATCCTCCATCGCAGCCCCTGTGGCTGCTGGCTATCCCACCACAGTTAGCCAAGTACAGCATCCAAAACCCTGGTACAAAAGCGACGCTAACAACATCAGGAACCAGATCATTTGTTCTTAAAGACAGTCTACTACTCCAGTCTACTAGAAAACACTCATGCCAGGGCCCACAGACCCAGAAGTCAGACACAAGAAAAAGGAATAGAGAAAGGGGGGGGGGGATATATATATATATATATAAAAAAAAAAGACAGCAGTACATAAAGTGCTTCTCTTTTAATGAAACAAATCCAAAAGATGTACAGTTGTGCAGTTCACAAGCATGGAAAAACAAACAAACAGAAGGACAGAGTTCCAACAGAAGAAGCTAACCCAAGACCAGGCTGGACTTGCCACCAGGGGGGTTTCTCCTGGATGGCGCTGGGGCTGGAGCCACTGGGCTGGGCACAGGAGCAGCAGGCACGGGCTTCTCTTCGATCTGCCCCAGGTTGGCTTGGAAGTCTGTGTCCACGTTTTCTAGGAAGACAGAGTTTGAGAATGGCTCAAACAAATGGAAAAACCATACGACAGACACACACACACACACACACGGTACACAGACATACATGCAATACATGCAGCAAAACACCCATATACATAAAATTAAAAAGCAAGCATGAATATTACTTCCACAGCAATTTGACAATAAATGCTAGTGTTCAAACTAGTAATTCTGAAGAGAAATACCTTTGTACAGCAACCCTGAAGATCAAGCCCAGGGTTTTGTAGTCAAAATAAACATCAGTAACCCTGAAGATCAAACCAGGGCTTTGTAAGTCAAAATAAACATTGTAGATACTAAATTGCTATTTAGCCCATCTACAAAATAACTAAACAAAGTTGTCAGTGCTGAACAGAGAGCGATTCACAGTAAACTTCAGGGTCAAAGGGAGAAATGTTGCCTCTGTCTTTAGGGAGGGAGGAAGACTGCTGTCCTAATTTCCTTTCTCCTCCACATCCATGTTTCTACTTTGGCAAACTGAGGATAAGCCCAGGCCACTTACTTCCTAAGGCCAACGTTTCCAGGGAGCCTCATTCTCCACCCAGACTCTGCCCTCACTTTTTTTCCTTTCCTTCTGACAGGGTTTCATTATATATATCCCTGACTAGCCCTGGAACTCACCAAGATCCTCCTGCCCGTCTCCCAAGTGCTGGTATTAAAGACTAAGACATCCAGCTCATTAGCTGGTCACCACTGGTCCCTTCTCCCCCTTCTTTCTGCAGCCTGGAACCCGTACCCAGGTTGTGCCTTGAGTTCTTCATTGTTCTGGTTTACCTTCCAGGGTGCTGGGACTAAAGGCCCGGTGCTCCCCTAGGAACCAGTCCAAATTCCTCCCTGTAACCGATCCTTGTATTTGATTGCCCAAAAGGCTGGACAACTTGCTTTATATCCAACAAAGCCTTTCACTTAAAGATGCTCAGCACATCCTCCTTGAAGCTAACTGAAACGGAGTTGCCTTTATCCACCAAGTACATTTGTTGTTATTTTATGACAAATGTGTAAAAGTTACAGCAGTTGGGAGCCCAGAATAACCAGGGGACATACATATAACCATTTAAAGAAGACTCCACACTTG